ACCAGGATGAACAATCAACACGCATAACACAACAATCACACGAGAAACAGTCAATACGTCAAACTGACGGTAATCAAAATTGTGTGTCGATCTCCTGCACAGAAACCGTCAACAAACTCATCTAATAACACGAAATCATCCATATCAACAAGAATCAATCATCAAATCATCACACAAACGCATTGGAATCCATTCCTTTACCCAGATAAGCCATGGTCACGCACTCATCTCAGGAAAACGGTTATAACACGCGTTTCAAATTTCAGATTAAACCGAACTCAGTGGCTCTGGAAAGCTAAGATTCGCGGCTTTCCAATGATACCTAGATCATCTTCTGGGTCCTTACAGAATGACGGGAAAACGCCTGCACGTTCGTTGTTCAGAACTGGAAACAGGAAATTCCAGTCTCAGAAAACATGAACGACACGTTGACATCTAAAGAACACAGAGAACGGAGATTACATCGNAAANAGGATCGNAAACCNGTTCTGAAAACNAGACAGAGNGAGNTTTCCANNGATAGGNNGATCGTCTCNTAAGTCCTTCTGGTTCAACGAGAATCCTCCCTCGAAATGGACTGATTGTAGACCCAAAACTGCAGAAACATCTCTTAGTAAAACAACGATAACTCTCGGGATACTAATCCAAATGACAAAACAATTTCGCCCAAAGCTAGATACAAGAGTGGAGAACTTACCCTAGAAGTTTCGTTCCAATCCGATCTGATCTTCCCAGCCCTTGGTCTCCCTTTCTAAAATCGGACAGAACTGCTTTTCTCTCAAGAAAGTCACTTGGCTCACAATTCTCTCTAACTCTTCTGATTTTCGGCCAAAAGAGCCACAGAATGCGATCCCCACGCTTATATAATAGAACCCTAGGGTTTCCTAAATCGATCGCCAAACCGAGCGATCAAAAACCGAACCAGACGGTTCAATTTTAACTTGCGTCGATCGATGCACAACACTTGTGTCGATCGACGCAACACCCGGAACCCGACTCCTCGCGAGTCCAAACACGTGTGTCGATCGACACACACACACACACTGTGTCGATCGACACACCACCAAAAATACATATTTTTGTTCACGGGCGTTACATAAGATATTTTAGTGAACAGTGTGCCCTCCTTTTCAAGAGGAGGCCAAAAGTAGTCAGTATTTCGACCCATTAGTAAACACAAGGCCTCATGGTGCAATTAGTAGTTGAGTCAACTAAAGACAACAAAACATATTTTAGCTAAATGATACTATAATTATCTTATCACTGATGATGAAGGATGCAACATAAGTCATTGAGAAGATGGGTGTCTCACACTGTCAACCAAGAATCATAAGGCAGCAGAAAGAAATTAAACCAAACAAGAAACAAAAGAAAATCGATTTACCAATTCTTCAAGGGTACACACACACATTGTGATCAAGTTACCAAGCCATTTTTTAGTAGAAAGAGATTCATCCCACCAGTACACTGAGGTAGTTGTTTCTCATAGAGTAGCTTTCACACTCAGTGATCAACACAGATTAGACTTCACATCAGCATACATGGTCGGAGTTAAGAAGGAAACAACTCAGAAGAGACGAAAAGAGGAAATGATGGCCTTTGGTTAGATACCCCCCCCCTCCACCTTTTTTTTTTTGAGAAGGCAGCAGGTCAGGACTTTTCTCTCCCTGTGTAAACCTCTTTTCCTTTTTTTTTTTTTTCAGGTTAGGATTTTTCTCTCCCTGTGTTATGCCCAGTATTTCTTTTTAAGGGTCATGACTTTTCTCCCCCTAGATTTTCTTTGACAACCTTTTTGGTCACATTGTCTATTCTTCTGATTGGATTTAGAATCGATTCCCAAGAGATCAGAGAAGATAGGCAAAAAGAGAAAGAGACAAAAATGAAGGTCGAATATGTATGATGAGTAGCTCTTTCTCTGTGGTGACTTACCAATGGGAGGTTTTTATGGGTTGTTCAGAACATGGGAGAAAAAGCACCTGATGATTAATACCACTATATGTGACATATATCCTTCACAGATTAGATCATAAA